GATCAGGGGAAACAGGAAGTTATAGATTTTCATGATAATTAGGCCACATCAAAGGGACACATCATCAATACACACAGGGAAGTAACAAAGGATCAAACAGGCTCAGAGAGGGGCAGCTCATTATCTGTAGGCAGGGACCCATTCCAAATAACCAGACTGAAAGGTAGACATTAGAATCCAAAACATACTTCTTCCTCAGTTTTAGCCAGTATCTTTGCTGGTTTATGTTTTCTGGTTATCTGAAGTTTATTCCCATATATGCTTGGAAGTCATACTTTGAAATCACTGACATTAGCTTGCCTACTTGTCACTGCTCTTTCTCATGAGAGCAGATTACAAAGAAAAGTTGTAACTATTTGAGTTTCCTGTTGATTTTTAACTCCATAAGTAGGATGTTCCTGTTAGGTACTCAGAGGGCACTTATCTGCAGTGAGGAAGGCAAAGACAATGGAGAATGAACGAAAAAGGAAACATCCATCAATGAACAGAACACAAGTATATACGTGAGGAGTAATGTAACCATCAAGTAAGTCTTAACGTTTTCTGTCCTTCTATTATTTGTTTATTTTCCATGGCAGTGACTCCTTTGGGGCTTGGGTAAAGCTTCTCTTATTTATTCTATACAGCATCACATGAGAAAGAGATAAATAGATCCTTTAAAGTGATCACACTGCTCTACTTAAAAACAATCTCTCTAGATCCACAAATGCTTATTTGGATAACTGCACTGAAAATTGTTCTTTGTCTTTAATTAATTAGATTGAAAGTTTTCAAAATAATTTTTTTTTATTAAGCAAGCTCTTTCTGGTGGAATCTAAGTTAATATCTGTAGGAGATTGCCTGGTTCACTAATTACACAGGCACCTTGCAATAATTAATGTTTGGAAGAAAGCAATGTATTTTCCATACTCCAATTAATCATAAAAATGTGCATTTTGGAAAGTAATAAAGGAAGCATGCAGAATTACAGAAATACAAGTTTATATAATCTCTCTCTCGCTCTCTCTTTCACACACACACACGAGGCCTATACAGATATAATGAGGTTTTTGTAGCTGTAATTATTCAGTTAATAAAATTCATTCACCCAGAAATGTTGACATCAAATATGTGCAGGCACAAGGCTAGGCTCTGAGAACATGTAGGCACACATAATTCCTGGCTTCAGGAAGTTTATAAGCTAGAGAGAAAGCCTAAGAGGCTACTATCAAACCTATGAGAGGTGACTATTGGTAAGGATCACAGATGGCACTGAGAAGGGAGGTGTCCCTAGGGGAGGAGTCATCCACAAGTTTTCAACCTTGAGGTTTGCAAATCTGAGCCTTTGGATCCTGGATGGCCCAGGCCCAAGCCTTGGCCTCCTGCCCACAGCAAGCTCCAGCCTGGCCCCCCACCTTGAGCTAACATCACACTGCTGAACACACAGCCACGCCTCCTGCTTACCTCTCACTCCCAGTTCTCAAGGGCACCCTTGACAGACTTAATTCCACCCCCTACCTCCCACGCACACCCTTCACTTCCCACATCAAATAGATCTAGTGCTGCTGACTGCATTTCTCAGAAATCTCTCTGAACATCTGCCTCTGCACCCCACTGTCTCTGCTACAGTGCAGGTACCTGCCATTTCTTAATTTGTTCTATCACAGCGCTCTCCTATTGGGTCTCTCCATCTCCTGTTTTGACCTGCTCTACTGCAACTTTCCACTGGCAAAACAACTATCTTTCCAAAATGTGTTAATCTCTTCCCTACAGCCTCTGATGGATCCCTGCTGCCCACAAACAGTGGCTCCCAGGCTTGGATGTGCTCCAGAATCATGGTAGGGAACTCTTTTAAGAAACAGATTCTTCTTCAGCCATCATTAAAAGTCCACAAATGATAAATGCTGGAGAGGCCATGGAGGAAAGGGAACCCTCCTACACTGCTGGTGGGAATGTAGTTTGGTGCAGCCACTGTGGAGAACAGTATGGAGATTCCTTAAAAAACTAAAAATACACTTACCAAATGATACAGCAATCCCACTACTGGGCATATATCTGGAGGGAACTCTAATTTGAAAAGATACATGCACCCCAATGTTCACAGCAGCACTATTTACAATAGCCAAGACATGGAAGTAACCTAAATGTCCATCTACAGATGACTGGATAAAGAAGCTGTGGTATATTTATACAATGGAATAATACTCAGTCATAAAGAAGAATAAAATAATGCCATTTACAGCAACATGGATGGAACTGGAGATCATAATTCTAAGTGAAGTAAGCCAGAAAGAGAGAGAAAAATACCATATCACTTACATGTGGAATCTAAAACAAACAAAAGAAAAAAAAAGACACAAATGAACTTATTTACAAAACAGAAACAGACTCACAGATAGAAAACAAACTTATGGTTACCACGAGGGGAAGAGGGGAAGGGATAAATTGGGAGTTCGAGATTTGCAGATACTAACTACTATACATAAAATAAACAAGTTCATACTGTATAGCACAGGGAACTATATTCAATATGTTATAGTAACCCATAATGAAAAAGGATATGAAAACGAATATATGCATGTATATGTATGACTGAAACATTATGCTGTACACCAGAAATTGACACAACATTGTAAACCAAATTTACTAAAATAAAGTTTTCCCAAATCTGATAATATATGTATATGTGTGTGTGTGTGTGTATATATATATATATATATATATGTATGTGTATGTATAACTGAATCACTTAGCTGTTTAGTAACCTGAAACTAACACTGTAAATCAACTACACTTCAATAAAAAAATAAAATTAAAAAAACAGTAGCAACAGATTGTTCCTGAACCAAAATTTTTGGAAGTAGGGCCTGGGCAATCTATATTTTTAGCAAGTTCACCAGATGGCTCTTTACTGTCAGTCTGGTTCTAGTTGGGGGACCAGGGCTTCAGATCTGCAACATGAAGTCCAAACTTGGCACACAAAATCATTCACATTGACTCTTTCCCTGTACACACCCTGTACCACAGCCAGGGTTATAATCCATTTCTGAAACTTCCAGGGTTCTTCTAAGCCTCTGAGTCACTCCACATGTTGTTCCCTACAGAATTGGCCTTCACTCCTTTTCCACCCTGGAAAGCATTGCCTAAGTCTTCTCCTCTGAAGCCTTCCCAGGTCTCTCAGCTGAGAGAGCTATGGGTCCTAATCTGCTTTTAAAAGCTCTGTGCAGATCCCTGAACATGGCATACTTAAAATTTTCACTTGTCTGTTTCTTATACTGTACTTTGATTTCTTCAAGGGGTGGGACTGCAAATTACTCATCTCTTTAATCTTAGTGTCCAGCCTTGTTCCTGATTCATAACTGGCACATAACATAAATAAATGAATAAATGAACAAATGAACAAACGAATGAGAAGAGTTTTAGTTACATTATGGTAGGAATTGGCTGTGTACAGACCATTACTCTTTATGAACTGAATAATTACATATCTTCTAACAGAGTAATATTAAGTGAAGCTAGTAGAAGCTCATCAGCATTTGAGATGAAATGGAAACCAAAATAAACAAGTGCTACTGCAAAAATATAATGAGTGCTTTCCTGGTGCAGGATTGACGGACTCATTAAACATTTAGATTAATGTATTGTTTGGCAGATGTTCAATGTTTTCACTTTTCATTTGCTTTTGTGTTCATTTATGGGCTGGCAATATAAACACATACATGCAATGCATCTTTTTTTTGCAAAGTCAGTAATATTTTTTAGTGTATTTCTATTTTTTCTGCCTTTATAGTATTCTCTCCTCTAGTGCTGGTACCATATTTTTAAATGAGCTTATCATGAACCCCAAATCACTAAGCAAGAAATGAATACTGAGTTGTATCAGTTACAATTTAATGTAAGTGTAAACGGAATTTTTAATGGACTTCATTTGTTATTGCTTGCTTTACATTCATTACTTCTCTCTGGGTAATAAGCACTTAATATCCCCTTTGTGACCTCTCCTCCCCAACTTTCTGTCCAAGTGGTTCTTTTTGTTAGGACTGGCTGGGGAAGGAGGGCATGTGACCCAGGCTTGACTAATGAGTCACAGTGAAGTGCTCGGAGAGGACATGTGATCCAAGGCAGCCAATGACAGTCAGTCCCAGTTCCTTTGTCAGGATCACTGAGAAAGATGTACTCTCTGCACTGGGGTCAATGAACTGTTAGAACATAAGCCACTTTTGTCACCGTGTGAGTAAAGCTGCCTAAGAATGAAGCCAACACGGCGGCAAGCAAAGCCAAAGAGAAAGAGAGGCAAATTCTGATGATATGTTTGAGCCTTTAAATCCAGCTGTACCTGAACCCAATTTACCCTTTGGGATTTTACACTTACTTGAGCTCCACTCACTCTAAAGAAAAAAATTCCTTTCTATTCTTAAACTAGTTTGAGTTTGGTTTCTCTCATTTACTACCATAAGCATCTTGACCATAAGACATTATGTCAGACTTTCTAGCATCACTGAATTTGTTATGTTACATAAGAATTGTGTTGATTTACAATAAAGCTCTTATTTTCTATGAATCTTTAGAAATAAATGTTTAAGTAGAAGTAATCTAGTTTGTTGTGAGAGCTTAAATAAGTCACTTAACTGTACCCCTGTTTCCTTATTTGTTAAACTGAGGAGTTATACTAAGCCCCTTCTGCAAAATTATTATTCTGTGGAAAAAACACTGACACAACATTAATGCAATTGAATTCTGTTTATAAATCACAGTTTCTTAACCATAAATGCTGCCATGGCACAGAGTATGTGTTAGGGCTGGGGTTGGGGGAGAGGGAGAGTGGAGAAAGCAGGAGGAGAAAGTTTGATAAACTTCATTTCAGATGAACTGCAAACAGTCAAATAATTTATTATTTATCATAGTATCAGTATTAGCTTCTTCTGTAACTGGGAGACAAGTTCCAGAAATGTGAGAACTGTCACAGGTTGCCAAATTTACCAAAGGATGAAAATAGATGTGTCAGAAAAAAATGTACTCACAATTCAGTTTCTTCTCATCAAACTGGAACCAAATGCACAGTTTTGGATTGAGATGAGAAGCCTAAACACTTCAGATATGTGTTTTGAAGAGATGGCAATGCCTGAGACAGAAGCGGAAAAAAGCAATGAATATTTTAAAAAATCTGAGCTACTCTAAAACTAGAACTGGTATTAATAAAAGCCAACATGATATGTTAAACTAAATGCAATTATATGTTGGATCACACTGTAACTTCAAAGAACTCAGAATACACTTCTTTTTATCTTTTATTCAAAGAATAATCAAGGTTCCATTTCCTGAAACATTTTTTCTCCATTTTTTTCTTCCAACTGACTCATGTTTTTCTGACTTCCTATTTGTGTACACCAAACAAAAGTCACTGCAACCTACAATGTGTTTGTGTTTTTTCCTCTCAAATCTGTATTTTTTAGTTTAAGGTGTTAATAATTTAATGACCTGCTCCTAAGATACATTGAACTTGTTCAGACTAAATCATCCTAACAGCTTTCTATGACTATGTTGTAGCATTTGCATTGGATTTCAAGTCTGGGTAACTTCTCAGCAATTTTCCTCCTACTTTGTTAGTTTTTTTTTTAATGACAAAATTAACGTATATTAATTATAACAAGACAGAAAATACAGTTACAATGAAAGTTATAATGAAAAAGTTAATCTCCTCCCTTCAGTCTCACCTGACATCTCCACTGTTTCATGTGCAACCTCCCATATAGTTTCTATGTTTATACCACATATAAATACATAAATCTATAGAGCCCACCCTTCTTCCTCCCTCCCTTACGCCTCCATTTTCCCCATGGTTTTCCAAATATTAGACCATACTACAAATCAAAGTTCACAAATTGGCAACCCACACTTGGGGAAAATATTTTTGGCAAAACATTAGGCAACTTTAACATGAAAGATCTGGATCCACAGCCCCCTTGTTAATAATGTTACCGATGCTGCGCAGAGTTTCCAGTTTAACATGGTCCTTTCCATTCCCTATTATTTATACCTTCACTAATCTACCATTTAATATTACCAACCTATCATCCACAAGCATTTCAGTTTATATTCTTCTGATATTATTTAGCAACTTGTTTTTGGCACTTAACATTATGTCATGGTGTTATCAATTAGAATTAGATTCAGCTGCACGTATACCAAGAATGCAAATAGCTTAAGCCCTAAGAGTTTCTTTTTTTCTTATGTAAAATAAGTCTGGAAGTGTGTGGCCCACAGCATATACGGCACTTGAGAGTCACAAGAGATATAAGCGCTTCTTACTTTTCTGCTCTACCTTCCTTAGACATGGCTTCTAGTCTCAAGGTCAGTTAATCACCCATAATGGCAGAGAAGCTCTAGTTACTTAACCTGTCTTTCAGGTGGTAAAAAAAGTGGAGGGGAAAAACCAAAGTGGTGCTTCTCCCGAGTCAGTCTTCTTTAAATATATTTTCCAGACATTCCACTCACCTACTTTCACTTGTATCTCATTGGCCATAACTTTATTATACAGCCACATCTCCATGGACATGAGATGGAGAAATGCTGTCTTTTGGTTTAGGCACCAGAATAAAATCCAGGTATTGCTATTAAAGAGAAAATATAAATATTGATCTCTGCTACATATCCCGGTAGGTTAACACAGACATATGGAAGCGATTGTAGGGGTTCCTCAAGATTCAGTCTCCTCTTTTTTTTAATCTTAATTGGAGTATAGTTGATTTACAAGGTTGCATTAATTTCATAGTGTACAACATAGTGATTGAATAATACATATACATTCCTTTTCATATTCTTTTCAATTATAGGCCATTACAAGGTATTAATTACAGTTCTCTGTACTGTACAGTAGGACCTTGCTGTTTATCTATTTTATATATAGTAGTTAATATCTGCAAATCCCAAACTCCCAATTTATCCCTCCCCAACCCTTTTCTCCTCTGGTAACCATAAGTTTGTTTTTTAGGTCTGTGAGTCTGTCTCTGTTTTGTAAATAAGTTCATTTGTGTCATTTTTTAAGATTCCACATATAAGTGATATCATATAGTATTTTTCTTTCTCTTTCTGCCTTATTTCACTTAGTATGATGGTCTCCCAGGTGATCTTAAAAGAAACCTCAGATTTAACCTGGTCACAGAGGCACCTGACACAAAAGATATATTTCTAAATATTAAACATTTAAAATAATTCTTCATGATTATAATCTTTTTTCCCTTCAACATCAGTATTTTTACTTTTTTAGGATTCACCAAATGGGATTCCTAAGACTACTGTAAATAAATTTTAAGTTTTAATAGGTACTGATGGTTAACTTTGTAGGAGGCTGTGGCAGTTCATTCTCAGGAATAGTGTTCAGTACACGTCCATTTTTCTATAATCAGAATTGGATTTTTTTTTCCCTTTTAAATGTTGTGACTCATGGGTGAAGAATTACATCTGTCTTTGTTTAATTTGTGGTTCTCTTACTACCAGCAATGAAAAACCTCTTTTCCCATTTGAATTGTCTGCTTAAATTTCTTCTGCAGGGAGTTTGTGTTAATACCCTTTACCAATGTCTCTGTTGGATTATTTGGCTTTTTAAAAAATCATGTTTAACTATTAGAGATATTCACCTTATGTGATGTAAATATTTTCATCTAATCTATAATCACTAAAAAAAAAAAATCTTTAGCCTATGGAAATTTATGTAACCAAATCTTTTCATGAATGGTTGAGTTTTACTTTTACTTAAGAAAGTCTCTCCCACCCTGAGATAATACAAATATATTCCTAAATTTTCTTCTGATTTTCTAATATAGTTTTGTTTTTATTATTCGACTCATTCATTCAACTAATACTTGTTGAGCACTTATTATATGCCAGATCTTCTTCAAATACTAGCGGGGATGTTTTCTAGTTGGGAAAGACAGACAACAACCCAATGAACCAATGAATAAGCAAGGCATTTCACCAGAGAATTAAAACCTGGTGACACATGGTAGAGTGAGGCAGGCTATTTCAGACTGAGTGGTCAGGAAAAGCTTCTCTGATGAGACGGGATTTAAACTGACTCAGGAGTAACTCTTGATTAAGGGAGAAGTCCAGGGAGAAGACTCATGTAGGATTGCCCCTGGTGTGTGCGAAGAGCAGGAAGGCTGATGGTTAATTCCTCAGGGAGAGAAGGAGACTAGTTGGAGAGGGAGGCAGGTCCAGAATGCAGTGGGCTTAGCAGGCCAATGAGGAATATGGATTTTATGCTACATTGCAGATTTATAGTTCATCGGGAATTAAAAAAATTTTTTTTTCCTTTTGTTTTTTGGATTTTGGAGGAGGGCAGTAATTAGGTTTTCATTTATTTATGTATTTATTTTAATGGAAGTACTAGTGATTGAACCCAGGACCTTGCACATGCTAAGCTAAGCACATGCTCTACCATTGAGCTAAATCTTCCTACTAAGGAATTTGTTTTTATATGTAATATGACATGTGTGTGTGTGTGCAGTCTTTTATTTTCTTTCAAATTGAGAGTTACATCTGTATCGTTTCAAACACAGTACAGATATCATCACTAAATGAAATACATGTTCCACTGAGATTAAACACAGACTGAGTGTAATATTTTTATCCCAGGGATGTGACCATTCAGTAAATTCTTTCTGGAACTTCTTTTTAGAACCATGGTCAGAAGCAGTTTTTAAGTCACCTATAAAAACCAGTTTTTATAAATTTACAGTCACACAAAACTTTTGATCAAAAACCACAGCCCTAGTTGACCATTTTATTCATTTGACTTGGCTCTGAAAAAAAAGACTTTTGGTTAATTCTAAAAATTAGATCTATCCACAAAGGGCCAATGTTTGTCACCAATTAAGATATTTAAAGGAATGTGCCATAGGCTCTGAAGACAAGTCTGAAGGAGACATTCTAAAAATATTTTGCATAATGGTAGCATTAAAAGAGTAAGCACACAGGACCTAAAATAACTCTGAGAAAAGGAAGACATTTTTGGATGTTTAGGTCTATAAAAGTAGTAAGAGAGTCATTACTTCATAATTAAACCACATTCCTCTTGATCTGTTCACAGAATCATTTTATAATTTACTATTCACTTTTTAAAAGTTCAAGCTTTATAACAACCCTATAGGTTAAGTACTCCTGCCAATTTTAACAGATGAAGAAACAGATTAATTTACAGAGCTCATACTCAAGTCTCAATTCCAAGTTCAGTACTCTCTCTACACACTGTCGTCTAAGATCACACAACTTGAGAAGGGAGAAGCCGCAGTTCACCACCACCCCCTCTGACCATGAGGCTGCATGGACATCTTAACCATTTATCTGCCTTAGTCAATGCTCTTTGTGGATTTGATTGTCTGCTAACTTGCAAATAGTCACCCCTGTAGCAAGTACCTAAGCTGATTAAAAAAAATATATTTTTTCCACTTTAAAATAACGGAGATCGAGTGGAACATCAATTTCTTGGATATTTTAAGATGCAGAGACATCTGCCAAATTGGTCTTAAAGCACAGGGATACCTAGGAAATATTATGGTAACTGGTAATCAGTGTATCAGTCAAATTAAACAACGCTTGTGGCATTACAAGTAAAGAGCTCTGAAAAGGGGTCAGAACTGTGTTTTAGTCTCGCCTCTGTTCCTTAGTTTCTCTGAGATATTTGGCAAAATCACTTAAACTTTCTGGGCTTCTTATATCATTGAAGGTTCTTAAATTTGATGCAAGTAATGGGAAATGATTAATAACTTAGGCAAAAGGGGATTTATTGGAAGGATACTGCAAGACTCACAAATGCCTGAAAGGTTAGGAACTGGGCTTGGAAACTGACCAGAACCAAGCACCTGGTTGACCTGAACTACAAGGAAAATCAGGGTGCAACAGGGAGCAATGGATTTAGGGCAGTCAAACAAACCCCCCACATCCACCACTGCTTTCCTTTTCACATCCAACAAGATCATCTCCAAGAGCCTTCTAGCCCTGACATCCTCTACTCTGTATTTGAAGAAGGGTGGGCAGGAAGGGGGAGGGGTGCATATGCAAACAGAGTGGTCAGAAGTTTTGGCCGGATGTGCATCCGAAGGTTCTGCACAGCTCAGGAAGGCTGAGCCACCGCAGCAGTACAGAGGCTGACCGATGTGGCATGTAGCAAGCAGGAAGCAGAAGGGGTCTTAAGCAAGCAAAGCATTTGGGTAGACAAATTATGAGGAAATGACACTTCTCACTAGGGTTGGAAGCTTCGATACACTAGGGTTGGAAGCTTCGATACAGCCTTTGCAGACAAACTGCAGACTTAAGGACATCAAAGAGACTGTGGCAGGTTTCCTCATGCCTACGAAATGAGATACAGTACCTAGCAACGACATGAACTTCATATTTGAATGTGATACACAAGGAAACATTAAACAGCCTCTCAAATCGGAAGTTGAAAACTTGGAGCTCACAGGTCAGATACAGCCCTCAAAGAATTAGTTACTAAAAGATAAAAATACAGATTTCTGACTTTTCTTGAAAAAAGGGAGGCTTTGGCAACACCAGGCCTGCATTTCTAAATAGCAATAGTTTTCTGCCTTCTTCTGTGGGTTCTCCACGTTGCCATACCCTCCCCACAGCCCTCTTCACTTGTAATGTCACATGCGTGGACCTTGGGAGCATTACTAGTTTCGTAACACCGATGTAATTACTTCCACAGAAACCCACCCAAGGTCAGCATCTGGACAGCCATTTTGAGGATTTACCACTGAGGGCTTCCCTGAGCATGAGAACTTCCCTGGGTTTAAGCTCCTAGCTTCAGTCCTTGGGACCCCTTTGGTAGGATCCCTTCATCCTGACTGACTACGTGTAATGCTGGAAACAACCACTTGCTCTAAATCTACCCAATCACATGTCCCTCTTCTGTCAGAGCCAGTCTTCAAGCATCTGCTCCCCCAAATGACCTTAAATACCTGATGGTGGAAAAGGCAGCAAAGAGTCCCCATAGGATATCGTCCACATATAGGGAAAAAGAAAAAACAATGCCTCTGAATGAAGAACCTCTTCTGTATGACTTTTTGGAAGACAATCTTCTGATTGGGGAAAGACATCCCTTCTGAGGATTATTTGTTTATTTTCTATGAGTAGCTGCAGATGTGCTGGGCACTAATTGATGGTGATGCTGCTGCTGCCCTTTATTAAGTCTCCTTTGCACAAACCTGATCGCATTGGATGCTACTCCTCACGTTTCTGTCTCTGAAGGCCAGCATACTATATGTGATGAGACAATTCACTTCACCCCTTGCTTAAATTCTTGCTTAAATCACTTTTATGGCTTCCAAGCTGCTTTTAGGCTAAACTTTAAGGTGCTTAGAGAAGTCTACAAATCCTTGCATTGTTTGATTTTTTCTTTTCCCTCAGGCTTCACCTCCCATTCCATCTTCCCTGGCTCATTTCACTTTAACCACTTGAATCTTCTTTTAATTTGTCAAAAAAGCCAAGCTCTTTTCCACCTCGGGGCCGTGACTTTTTCTTTATACTTTCTGGAGGGCTCCCCTTCTTCCTCAAGATTTCCCTATCTCCTACGAACCTCTGGCCCTCAGCTTTTAAATGCCACTTTGTCAGAGACGTTTCCCCTACATTTTACTTCCCTCCCATCTTTCCATCCTCTGCCCCATTTCTTGTATCCTCCTGCTTTTTGATTCTATTGCTTTTAACAAAATTTGTATGTTTCCCTACTAAACTGTAAACTCTACAGCACAGAGACCTTATCTATTTTGTGCCTACTGAATATTCAGGGTCAGCACAGTCCCCGCTGTAAGAAAAAGTGAGCAATACTTATTTGCCAATGAATGAAAAACCTACATTCCATACCCCAGGCTGGTCTAACACCACACACTATGTGATCTGGAGTAATCAGGCATCCTTTCTTAGGCAAAAAAAATCTATTTCAGTCTCATATAAGTAAATCCAGATGGTTTACCAGAAGATAAACCTGGTGAAGAAAGCTATTAACCTTCCAGTCTTCCCAGGTGGGAAGGGTCCCAGACCATCACCTGGAAACTTGGTACAGATGCAAATCAGCAGACCCCACTCCAGGCCACCTAATCTGAGAACTCAGGGGGTGTGGCCCAGCTTTCTGCGCTTTAACAAGACTTCCGGGTGATTCTGATGCTCACTTTGAGAAGTTTGAAAACCATTATTCTAGGCTTTCCAGTTTTTAACCTTATTTTTCAATTAAATTTTTTGGTCCTTAATCCTTGGTGTAATCCTGCAAACGGAACAGTAGCCTCTTAAACTACTACAGAGGGAAATCTTTGTCATCCAAGGCCTTCAAAGGCTTATCCTAGTAGAGTATGCTGCGTAGAAGATACTCCCGGGAGGCCTGCCTTCTGGGGGCCTACAGTCTAAACCGTGTTGTAACACTTGTAACGTGCGACGTTGTAACAACGCACAAGTGTTACTGAGAAAAACCAACCAACCAAAACCGCACAAAGGCCGACGAGCCGCGGCACAAGCCTTTGTTCATCCCTCCCGCGACTGCTCACCCTCGCTCTGCCACCGCTCCTTTCCACCCAGACAAGCAGCCACTCAAGTTATAAAAACAGGTGTGAGTCGCTGACAATGTTTTCAATTAGGCCGTCTTCCCCGGGGCCCCGGAGGAGATACTCGTGGCTGCAGGATGCGGTCCCTTTCTTTCCTCAACCTAGCACAGAAGTAATTGGAACTAATAGCCCCTTGCAGCTTCAGAAGGAGAACTGGAAGCTCGGGCTGACTTCTCCGCCCCTACCTTGTGCAACACCCGAGGTGGACTTCCTCATGGTCCGGACGGGAGCGGCGGCTGGCGGCGCACCCCACTGCGCATGCTCTCTCGCCCCGCCCGCTCGGAGCCGGAAGCGGGAGCGCTGGCGGCCTGCGCCTGGCCTGGCCGGGGCGTCGGCACCGGCGGCCATCTTGGCTTCCCAGGGAAAGGCGGCGTGAGGGGAAGAAGTTGTAGGGTGGGGGCTGGAGTGAGGAGGAGGGGAGAGAGAGAGGGGGAGGAGGCCGCGGAGGGGCAGGGCGGGGACTGCCTGCCTGCCTGGGTTGCGGAAGTGGTAGCCGCTGACCGAGCTTGCTGCTCTCTCGCTACTGCTTCGGCTTCCCGGCTCCCCCCCGGACGGAGAGGGCGGCCCGGCCGTGGATGGTCAGATAGCTTCTACTTCCCGCCGCCCATCCCTGGCCACAACCAGCACGGAGCAGACGGCGGCAGCGGCAGCAGCAGGCGTGGAGGAAGATGGCGGGACGGCTGCCGGCCTGTGTGGTGGACTGTGGCACCGGGTAAAGGGGCTGATGGGCGGGGGTGGGGAAACTGAGGCGGACAGAGGAAAATGGCGGGGCAGGGAGGAGGCCAGGAGATGAATGGGGCCGCGAGGTAGCGCCGCCGGCGGTGTCATTCCCAGCCCCGCCGGCTTGCGAGGGGTGGGGCCCGGAGCCGGGGCCTCCCTTGTCCCCCTCGCTGCACCCTCTGGGACCTGGGCGGGCTCGCGGGGCCGAGAACACCCCCGGGAGCGGCTTTCTCCGCGCGACCCCTCCGGGCCCTTCCCCCACCGCGGTGGGCAGCGCCGTCCGGGGAGCTGCGGGAACGGTCGCCTTCCCCGGGCCCGCGATCGCGCGGGGTGGTCGCCGAGCCCGGCGCACCCTGTTCGCCTTTCCCTTGGTGCCCTTTCCTGCCCGCGGGTTTGGGGACGGAGGGGAATCCAGCGCGGGGACCGGCCTGGCAGAGGAGCGAGAAAAGAGAAGCGCTCCTTGTAGGTTTTGCAAGCTTGCTGTGACAACACTCGGCCCCGGGTGTGGGTGGGGAAAGGGAAGAATCGGACCCTGAAAATGGGAACCTCGGTCGGGACTTTCATTTGACCACCCACCTCCTCTTCCTTTTCGACTCCCGGTCTTTTCCATCTCCCACTGCGTTTCTACTGGTCAACCCAGTCACATTTTAATTTGAGAGAAAGGTGTCATGTGTTACTTCTCTAGCCTTAAAAAAGTCCCCCAGTGAGCAAGCGCGCTGCAACTTCCTTAGTTTTGTCAAAGCCGCTTCCTGCTTTCAGTCTTTTATACCCTTATAAGGTAGTTTTTCGTTTCCAACCTGAACACATCTTATTAGAACTTTCAAAATGAAGTAGATTTCAAATAGGCTTAGTTACTAGTGCTGGGTATCAATTTATGTGAACTTAAAAAATATATTTGTGTTCCACGGAGAGGGAGGGAGGGAGGGAAGCACACAGGGAAATAAATGAATTTAAGTTGTATAGGTTCATTCTGTGACGATATCTTAAGGCGAGAAGGAAGGCAATGGAGGTATAAAGGGAATGTGCTTGCTTTTCAAGGAGTTGTTTATCATGGATCTGTAGTGTAGTTTACTAAAATATGGAAGGGCGTGAAAGTGGTGGTTCCTTTCGTATTAATAGGCATTTTAGAGAGTTACAGCACACTATATATACTTACGTAGAAAATATTGCCTGTATTTTAATGTAGAGTGACTGCTTTATGTTACAGTATTGAAAGTATTTTCTTTTGTGCGTGTGTATGCTGTACTGATGTATCATTACATATCTGTTTCTCAGAATACTCCAATTTGGGGGCAGGGTTGTGAGAGGTGGATCGCCAGCCTCCCCCTTCCCCTTTTTATTATTTAGCAAACTATTGTTACTTAAAGGATGGTATTTTACTTAAAGGATGATATGCTCCTCACTATATTGGCTCTCTGTAAAATTTCTCTATAATCTTCATGCTCATACCTTTATGCAAGTGTGGCGGTTTCTAAAACCCCAGCCATGCATAGAGAAAAACCGATTTATTAAGCTATTCCCTTAGGAAACACCAGCCTCGTTTAGACTTCGAACTTCTATGTATTTTTTTGATGGACAGCTTATTAAAGTTTTTTTTTCTTAATCCAATCTCATTTTCCTGAACCAGTATTTTTTTTACCCCTCACCCTTCTCAGTCCAGTTGGTGAGTAGTTTTATGTTTAGCGTCAGTTTTAAAATTAGATTTGGCAGCCTGCCTGAGAAGGAATTTTCAAGTATGTTTTGTTAAAGTGAAAATACTGCTGCATAATTAATATTTTATGCTTTAGTAATTATTGCCATTGTCAATAAAATTAGTGTAGATAATTGTTGCCCTAATAAATAACATGGTAACATCTTAAGTAGGATGTTAACTTTTTCTCACTTCATTTCTTTTCCCCTTTTGAAGTACAGTTTTGGTTATTCTTGAATTAGTATACTGGGTATTTCACTGAGATTAACTATCCTTAAGTGACCTCTTTCTGATAGGGCGATATAAAACACAGGCTGAGTGACCAGAAAGTGTGGGGAAGAAGGGTTCAATCTATACTTAAGATATTTTTCGTTTAATGTATCGGTTATTATTGCATTATTATATTTTACAGTATTACATTAGTGTTACCTCACAAGGAGAGGTTGTTAACTTGACCCTCATGATTTGAGTGGAACTGATTAGGATTCTTTCTTTAACCATCTGTCACTATTTGAAAGTCCACCTTAGAGATCCATTTATTTTGGTTTGCAAAAGGCATTTTGCTTTTTCCTGTTGGCTATTAATGCATCTCTTGGAAATCTACACCTTTAACTTTATTAGCACATAGAGGACAGCTCATTGAAACTGAGTCTGTGATAAGCATCTCTAAATAAAGCCTTAATAGGAAGTTCTGTGTTCCAGAATTCCATAGTCTCCAGATGCAGATTGTACACCTGTAATTTGTGTGTTCCTTTGTGCTGTAGAGAATGCATTCATCAATCACAATTACCCGTTTAATATAAGTGAAAAATTATAACCGGAATCAAGTTGCTCATTATATTTCATTATATAAGTTAGGCAAAAGGTGACTGAAAACAGTGGCCATCTATGAAATTTGGTGGTCTCAGATAAGAAAAACTCTAAGAGTTGGGAAACATGACACTTAATCTGCAAATTTAAAATTAGAGCTCCTCCAGCAAAGATCCTCTATTTCACCATACTATGAAGAATCACCTAAGCTCAGATCATAAAAGAAAATAATTTCTTTTGAAAAGAATATAGAAAGAAATACTTCTTTCATGTTGATACCATATCTACTACTTTTAGGGGGGAGCTCTGTATTGAAATAGTAATGTAGAATAAAATTTGGAGACAGAGATTCTTATTGATAGAGCAGTTTGCTTAAGGACTAAGGTATAAACTCAAACGTGCTACCAGTGAAAACTTTTTTTAAGGCATTTTTCAGGATGTGATATTTGTAAAGTTAAGGTTCTTATTCTAAGTTATTTTTTGCATGTTTTCATCCAAAATTCTTCAACATTCAAGCCATATAAAGGAACCCCTTACGTATTTTTTGCTGTAGCTTGGTTACAGAGCTTTGCATTGTGAAATTTCTTTTCCCTTTTTTCCCTAATAAGTACTGCAATTTAAAATTATTCCCATTGATTATGATAGCAGTGTTATTATAGCCTTACTGTAGAGCTCTTGGATGTATTCAGATCTAGAATGAGTTAAGGAATTTCCCTAATTGAGTTAAACTTCTTAGCAATCCTAAAATGTAAGCATAAATATGTTGTTGGAGTCAATGGATGAGAAACTTATATTATTCATCTTATGGTAACATTCTAGCAATTAGAACAGATAGGATGATCTGGTTTGAGAGCAGTGGGGAAGAGCTGAGTGGGTTGGAGAAAACATAAGTGGGAAGTTCATGTTTCTTACATGAATTCTGTACATAATATGTAATAATAATGCTATTTCACAGTCATCTCCAAGGGCAGAAACATTCACGGTATCTAGTTGTTACCAAAAAATTTCATTAAAATTCTTGTTCCTTCATGAGTCATGTTTTGCATGCTGTTTGCATTAAGTATAGTAGACATGCTCCTGTTGAGAAGTTAGATACTTCCTTAGTCTTCCCTAAAATCTTAGTCTTTTCCTTTCCTGCCAATCTCTTCCTGCCTGCCAATTTTGTGTTGGAATATTGACTTTGGACTGGGTATATGTTGTATCTAATGAATTTTTCAGCCTTATTATTGTAAAATAGTTCGGAAATTTTACTTTTAAGCCCAGAAGGGAAAGATATCCACTAGTGGAGGAACTGCTGGTCAGGCTTTTTATTTAATTTATTAGTATTGTGACAACTGTTTTTACCTCATTTTACAAGTAAGAACATAGGATTAGAGAATTTGAATTACTTTTTTAATGTCATATGGTTAGCAGTTGGTGAGAGTTACTACTTACAGTTAAGTTTTTCTGTATTTAAGCCCTGTGTTCTTTCTTTTATACCATGGAGACTCCTGAGCCCCTTTTCAAAACTATGCACGTTGCTTTATTTGGATTAGTGAGGTTAACTTTATTTATTATTGCTGAAAGTAATCTTATTAAAAAATCCTAGCCTTATTAATTAGAGGAAAATTTCTGTTCAAATCTGACTTGGTTTAGATTTTTTTCCTGGATATGTGAATTCCCAGACTTACTTCCTTGTCACTTTGCTTAAATTTAATCTCTAGAAAAAATTTACTCTCCAGGTTTTGTTTATCGGGAAGTACTGACAGCTAACATTTACTAAGAATTATGTGTCAGATCCTATGCTAAATGCTTTGTATTATCTCATTTGCTTTTCATATCAGCCTGAGAAATATTACCGCTATTTTTAGACCGGGAAATTCAGATTTTGAGAAATTTAACTACTTGACCAAGGTATTTTAGCAAGTAAGTGTGCTAGAGCCATTGAACTATGCAATCTCCTGTGTATAGTCTCCTTACATAGAGGATGAGCCTTTGACAATTTTGAATCATTTAGATATTTTTGAGAGAAGTAATGCTATTGTAAAGGCAGACAGAAATCAATGCTAGTGACTTAAGGATTACTTGCATAGGTGGAAAAAGTGGTATTGTCATATCAGCGCTGACTGTATACATAGCACCCCGCCA